AATATTTCACATTATTAACTAGATGATACTGTATTGTTGTAGCTGCACTGGAACATCTTGGCTAAGGGAACTTCTATTTCTGGATGTTGGTAGAACCCATAGCCTTTGTATCTTCAGTCATTTCTGGACATGTGGAATGAATCAAATTTCCTGATGACTTGCATGTGTGAGTCAGAGATGAACCACCCACTTGGTATATCTGGCTGAAGATGACTGCAAATGTCTGAGTGCTGACCTTTGCACTGGTGTGCTAGGATTCCTATCATTAAAGATGGAGATATTTGTGGTGTCTCCTCCTCCTCCAGGGAGTTGTTTAATTTTCCATCACAATTTGCGACTGGATGTGGCAGAACTGCACAGCTTTGATCTGATCAGTTAGTTGTGGAACTGTTTAGCTCTTTCAGTAAAAGCTGCTCCTTCTGTATGCCAATTGATCTTGCATTGTAACTTTCAGGAACAGCTATTCCTGGCATTCTATCTCCACTCCTCACTGCACCAAGGGTCAGTTCCCTTGTTTGATGGCAATGGCAAAGCTAAGGACATGCTGGCACCTGTGGTTGGTGCTGATGGGCCACACTGCCCAGTTACAAATTGCTAGTCCTTTTCTGATTTGATCCGAGATAACACGACAATAGTGCCACACAACACTATGGAAGGCATCCTCAGTATGACGATGGGATTTGGTCTGCATAAGGACTGTGATGTTGTCATTCCCACCAACACTATCATTGACAAATTCACACATAGCAAGTAGATTAATGAAGATGAAGTCAAGTAGTTTTCATCTACCTGAGCTATCTCAATACCTTCTACATGCCCAGTTTGATTGCTGTGTGGGGAACATGAACACAGCTTAGAGGGAAGGCTGCTGCTAGGATCTCTCCTGCCAATGGTAAAGGACAAAGCCAGGGATGGAGGAGGGGGTCTGGAACTCCAGATGTAAAGTACAATTTGGTGAGGATGTTTATATTAGTGAGGATTGGTTAGCTCAGTTGGCTGGAAGGCTGGTTTGTGATGCAGATTGATGTCAACAGTGTGGGTTGAATTCTCGCAATGGTTGAGGCCATTATGAAAGTCACTCTTTCTCAACCTTTCCCCTTGCCTGAGGCATGGCAATCCTCAGGTTAAACCACCACATATCTCTCTCTCTATAATGGTCTATGGTCCTCTGAGATTATGGCGACTTTACCTTTCTGCTTGTGATATTATAAACTTCAGAACTTTAATAATTCTTTCAATCCATGAAGAGTTAAGAAAAACTGTTACACATGAACGGATCAGCAATAACTCTGTCTGGAATAAGCTGGTAAGGGACAAAGACAGGTTGTCATACATGGGATTGAAAGCAATTAGCCATGCCTGGCAAAAGAAGGAGTTGAAGCTACATGAACAAAACAGTTTTGACACCTACTTGATAACTGGCTGCCATAAGGAAAATAACTGCGCTGCTGAAGAAATTAAGGAGTTAATTGCAAGACAGGCTGGGTCTTCAAACAGACAGTTAAGGCCAAATGTAACAAGGAACAGAGGAGTTATTTCTGATAAGGAAGCAGGCTACAGAGTAGTAGAACAGTAATTAATACTTTGGATGAAAGAATTTAAAAGATTTTCAATAATACTACACCATAGACCTGAAGGATGAGAAACTGTACAAGAATTCAACACCAGAACTCTTCATCTGAACTTCGAAGAACAACACTGCACAATTACCAAACCCTGGACATCAGAGATAGACACTGTTGGTAGCTAAATTCCACTAGTAATTGGATAATAGCTAAGTAGAGTTGTGAGATGTAATTTCCTTACTCGAGGGGTCTTATTTTGGTTGCTACATGCAATAAAGTTTAAATCATTGTTTCAGTCTTAGATTATCTGTGAGATTTATTAATAAGTGGCTGAATTACAGGTAGCTTGTGGTGGTTTATCTAAAACATGCTTGACTAGTCTGTGGGACAGCTCTCCCAATTTGGATACAAGCCCCCAGTAACAAGGACTTTGAAGGATTAGTTGGGCAGGATATACCATTGTTCAATGGAGAGTAGTCTGTTTTGTTGATTCTTATTCGACATTTTTGTTCATCTCAAAAAGGATCTTGATGTCCTTTTTCATAAGCCATTGAAAGCTAGCATGCAGGTAGTGACATTGTGATAATATCACTGGATAGCAATCTAGAACCCAGGGCTAATGATCTAGGGTTGTAGATTGGAATCCAACCATGGCAGCTGGCTAAACTGGAATTCAACAAAAAAAAATGGAATTAAAAAAAGCTAGTTTAATGCAACCATGTAGACATTATTGAATGTTGTAGAAACCCACCTGGTTCAGTAATTCACCCAAATTCAATCAATGAATAATAAAAGGGGTTCAGTAAACAATTTGTCTGGCAGATGGTATGTTAGCCTTTATTGCAGGAAGATTTGAGGACAAGAGCAAATGAGTCTTGCTTCAAATGTATAGAACACTGGTCTTGTACATATCTGGTCCCATTGCCCAAGTAAATAATATACTTGCCACAGACAGAATGCAATAAAGATTCACCAGACTGATTCCTGGGATGGTGGTACTGTCCTACGAGGAACAATTGACGAGACTGGGCCTGTATGATGTGGAGTTTAGAAGAATGAGAGGTGATCTCTCAGGAACCTACAACATTTTTAAAGGGTTAGAGAGAACATATGCAGAAAAGAGGTTTCACCTGGCTGTTGGGTTCAGAGCCAAGGGGCACAGTTTCAGATTTGGGACGGAGATAAAGAGGAGCTTCTGCATTCAGAGGGTGGTGAATCTTTGGAATTCTCTTCCTCAGAGGGCTGTGGAAGTTCAGTCATTAAGCAAGTTCAAGATACTGATGACATCAAGGGATATCATTGCATATTGAATAGAGGCAGTTGATCAGCCGTGAGCTAAAATGGTGGAGCAGGCTCCTATGTAGTGTTTTGAAACAGCCGAGTGGCATACTTGGCCATTTCAGAGGGGAACAAAGAGTCAGTCACATTGGTGTGTATACAGAGTTACACTTTGGTCAGACCAGGAAAAGGTGGAGGATTTTATCACTGGAAGCATACTGGCATATCAGAAAGGGTTTCTACAATAATCAGGCATTTTCATGCTCATTATTAATAAGACAAGCATTTTATTTCAGATTCACTAATTATCTTCTTGTGTATTATGTAGCGTTCTGATCACCCTGCTATAGGAAGAATATTATTAAATTGGACAGGGCGTAGTAAAGATTTATCAGGATGTTACCAGGACTGGAGCATTTGAGTTATAGGGAGAGACTGGATTGGCTGCGACATTTTCTCACTGGAGCATGAGGAGGTTGAGGAGTGAGCTTATAGAGGTTTATAAAATCATGAGGGGTATAGCTAAGGTGAATAGCAAAGGTCCATTCCCTGGGGTAGGGGAGTTCTAAGCTAGGGGGCATATTTTCAAGGTGGGAGGAGAAAAAATTGAAAGGGACCTGAGGAGCAACTTTTTCACACAGAGTGTGGCTCGTATGTGGAATGAACTGCTGGAGGAAGTGGTAGAAACAGGTACAGTTACAACATTTAAAAGATAGTTGGATAGGTACATGAATAGGAAAGGTTTAGAGGGATATGGGTCAAATGCAGGTAAATGGGACTAGTGTAGTTTGGGAAACTTGGTCGAGATGGATGGTTTGGACTGATAGGTCTGTTTCTGTGCCGTATGACTCTATGAAATTTTCTCAATTACTGAGGTGGGATTTGATCTTATGTCTCTGGAGCATTAGTCCAGATTTCTGGATTACCAGTTTGCTAATATTACTGTTGTGTTACTGCCCCCTAGATGAAAAGAGGCTGAAGGGGAAAAAGAGTGTATAAGTGTAGATTTCTTACAGAAGTATAGTTTTCTCACAGATCTGTTGTAAGAGACAAATATATAGGTTAGGGTTAAAAGTAAAGATGGAAAGAGCACTTGCTGCTGCAGAGACAGGCAGCTAGTTGGAAGATTAGAGAGGCTCCATCTGCTCTCTCAGGTGGATGCAATGGTCCCTTGGCATTATGCTGAATAAGAGAATGGGAGTTATTCCTGCACATCATACAAAAATACAAATTAGAAGCAGGAGTAGGCAACCTGGCCCTTTCAGCCTCTATTGCCATTTAATAAGCTGATCTGACTACTCCACATCCACACATACTCCTAATGACGTTTTATTCCATGGAAAATCAAGAATCTATCTACCTCAGCCTTAAAAAGATTCGAAGACTCTATTTCCAAATCCTTTTGGAGAACTCCAAAGACACCTGACCTTCTGAGAGAAATGATTTTGGTCTTAAAATGTTAAGACTTTATTTTTAAATAGCGGACTTTAGTTCTATAATCTCCCACAAGAGGAAACATCTTTTCCACATCGCCCCTGTCAAGATCCCTCGGGATCTTATACGTTTCAATCAAGTCGCCTCTTACTCCTTTAAATTCCAGTGGATAAAAGCCTAGCCTGTTTAACCATTTTGCAGAAGACAACCTGCCATTTCAGCTATTAGTCTAATAAACATTAACTGAACTGCTTCCAAAGTATTGGCACCTTTCCTTCTATAAGGAGATCAGTACTGTACATAGTGCTCCAGATGTGGTTTTAATAATGCCCTGCACAGCGGAATCATAACCACTTTACTTTTGTATTCAATTCCCCTCTCAACAAACAATAACATTCTAATAGTTTTTCTATTTACTTGCTGTGCCTGCATACTAACCCTCTGTGACTCATCAACTAATCTTTTGCAATTTGTCAAAAGTGCTTAAAATGACAATACAAGTCATTTATGATTTTCAAGTCCTCGATTCTTTGTATTGTGTCACTAACCATTCAACTCTCTACAACTTCGAAAACCACAATGTTTTATGTAGACACATCCACGATCAATAACATTCCATCCTTAAATTCCAAAGTCACAAACCAAAAGAAGGGCATATGCTTTTGCTGTTTACTCAGTTAGAAGCATTATATATACAACATTTCATTTTGTAAACAGCATTACCTTTTTGATGTAAGAATGCTCTGTTTCTTGAAATTGGGTAGAGCGACTGGTTCTGGTCATTTTGCCATTATCCTGCTTCTTGTTAATTCTGTTCCTCCAGTCTTCTTCTCCACTTCTCTTCAGCAAAGCCATCCTGGGAAAAAGGGTCCTGGCATAAGTCACACAATCACATTTAAGGAGCACAATCGCCACGAATAGAGATAGATTACATTGGCTGGACAGTGAAATACTCAATTATGAATGTAGAATAGTTCAGAAGATTCATGACGCTTATGTTATGACACTTCTACGAGAGAACAGGCTTAGCTTTGCCTATCACTACAAGTGCACCCCATGTGATGTCCTTTACTGTTATCAAGGCCTGCCCAACTGAACTGATGCAAGTCTGTGTTGTGCCATTACATGAATGTATTTCTTGTCTCCAGTCTATGAATTGGAACCTTTTTATTTGGATAACGTCTCTTGATTTTTTGAACAAAAAACTTTATTGAGCCACATTTGTGTGTTTCAGTAATCTTACTACTTCAATAAATTTTGTATAGAATTGATAGAAAACCAAAGCAATGGTTTGGATGGTCATTGTTTTTTCAATAAACAAATTAAATTTAGGATTTTACGGCCTCAATACCTTACATGAGTATTCTCCTTCTACCTGATAATAAAGAAATTATCTATTTTCAGATTTCTTTAAAAAAAAATCCCATGCCAACTAATATTGTGTGCCAGATGCTTGGTCATTAATTATTTTGGTATTCTAAATTTTAAACTAGAACACTGATCACGCCTTGATTACCAAAGCAGCACGAAGCCTCACAAAGAAAAATAACAAGACTGCAAGGCCAACTCTTATAGGAGAAAAAAAAGCTTGATCTATTAAATATTCACAGCTGCAAAAACAGCAAAGATTCTATTTATTTGAAAAATGAGACCTGTCAAACTTATACAATTGTATTTTTACCATCAAAAAGAAGCCAAGTTTTCTAAGTTTGCACCATGACGTGAGTAAACAGAAAAAGTATTTGAGATAACGATTTCGATAATAATGGGTGAAATATTGTTGGAGCAGACATCTTATTGCACATCCAAGTCTTGGCACCACACTTTGAGAGCATATGACAGCTTCAGAGAGGTTGCACAAAAATTCTTCATAATGGTTTCAGGATTTGAATACTTCTGCAACATGGATAGATGGAGCTATTTCCATAGAGCAAAGTGGTTGAGTGGTGATTTAATAAAAGGTGTTCAAAATAATGTGAGGTCCAGCTGAATAGATAAGAGGCAGGCCAGTCGTGTTGGCTGAAGGGTTGGGAGCTGGAGGACATGGATTCTTTTGGCAACCATCTATGTGACACAGTAATGTGACTTATACAGCAAGTGGTTACGCTGTGGGATGCATAACCTGAAAGTACAGGACAGACAGACACAATTGAGAGCTTTTGAATAGGAATTGGTAACCACCTGAAGAGCAAATAATTGCAGGATTGCAAGGGAAAGGGTGGGATAATGGGACCAGCTGAGTTGCTCTTGTAAAGAACATCCACAGTCATGATGGACTGAATGGCCTCCTTCTGTGCTCTAACCATTCAATAATTCTATGAACTACTAGACTTTTACCCCGCACTGTTCAGATTGCACATAATTTACACTTCAACATTCTGGAAATGTGATCCGAGAAGGGGATGGCAAAGGTAATAGGTTATGTGAGAACAACAGAACCCCATCCTGCATCCTAGTGGTTGTGAATTATAGTGGATGAATTAGAGTCATGTCAGGTACAAAAACAAAATAAAGATCATAGGAGAGAAAAAGACAAAATAAAGAGACAGAAAGGAAGAATGTGAATAATAGCTAAAAATTTAGTGTTTTAGAATTCTCTAAGAATAAGTTACTACATGCAGGAATGAATCTCAACACTATTCCTTCTCAGAGCATTTCAGATTGATTAGCTTGGTATACCAGCATCTTGCTGAAAGGGTAATTGTGTTGTTTATTATAATATTCTGGACCCACTGGCTCAGTTCCTCAATGAATAAATTAACTTAGTCACCAGGGGAGTCGAAGTTAAGAATAATTATTCCACTATTTTTAAAAAATTGCTTTGCCGGGAATGTACATCTCAAATTGACAACTCAGTGACAAGGAAGATTTTTTCCAAACCTGGTAATTTTGATACTTAAGTCTTCCAAATTGCTCAATCTCCACGCTCAATAACCTGTTCAGGTCCACTCATTGATCATCAAGAGAAAAACTGTACATTAAATACAATTCAACATTGATGGATTAACTTCTTTTTAAAGTCTCAAAATAACTGAAATTTTTCCAACTATCCTACCTGTTTCTAAGACGGGATAAACTGATTTTCAGTAACTACACTTAACATATAAATATTACACTTTGGTTCAATCGAACCAAATGCTTAAACATTACGCTTTACACGATACGCATTGTCAATTTAAAACAAATCAATATATATTCCTAATCAAAATGAAATGAAGGATCTGAGAAGTGTAGAAACTATTTGCGAAGTAACAGAGTGATGAAGAATGCTTATAGACAGAGAAATTTAAGACCCTATTATGGATACGAGAAATCAATTACCAAATATAGTGAACAGATTCAGCAAGCAATCATTTATGCTGTACTATTGGAAGATTGCCAAGATTTCACAAATGACTTGCATCAGAAATTGGTGCTTGCTTGCATTAACTCAAAAGCAATCTCTGAAAGGTCACATTTAAAATAAATATTTACGAAAATAATTCAAGCTTTTAATGCACTGAACCTTTTGCAGCTCTCAAACAAAAAAAAAATCAGCATCTACATTTACAAAACAGCTGCATTCCAAATTGCTAACCTGGATATTAACCACAGTGGAAGTAAAAGTAATTTTAAAAATAAAATGATGGAAATCTGAAATAAAAACAGAAAATAGTGCAAGTACGTAGTGGTTAAGTCAGTATCGATAAGGATTTCAAGCATTTACTCTTCATCAAAACATAAGATCGAGAGATAAACAAATCTTCAAAGGCTGGAAGAAAATATGTGGTATGAAAATTAACAGATACGTCACTCACCAGAGGAACCTGTTGGCTTAATGACTGACTTATTTATTTGTTCATACAAATTTCAGTGATTTAGAAGCATACATAATTAAAGGAAAAAGAATCAGGCAGAGACACGCAAAAATAAAACACTGAGAAAATGGAGGAAGATGAAGGTGACCTAAAATTTAAGTAGAAAAATCCAGCAAAATACACTGGGTTTGCCAGCACTAAGAAAATACAGACTTACATCAGTGGCTCAAAATCTATGTCAGCAATATGTTCTGACAAAGGGTCTTCACCTCTAAAGTAAAAAACATGTTCAGTGGTTGAAAACTTAACCGATGATCTGGTCATATTATGCACAGGACATAAGATGCCTGCAACACTCCTACTGTCAATACTATTGCAATGATTTTTAATAAAAGTTACACTCGTTTTCAAAACAGTATTTTAACCTCTAAATATTTCTAGCTACAGAAAGTATTTGAATATAGATGCTGAATTTTGTAAAATATTTAAAACTCTGATAAAGCAAAAGGGATTCTTGTTAGTACAACAAATAAAAATGGTTTGCCACAATTCTCCAGTGTTAAAATTTTAGTAGATTGTTACAAGTAAAACTGAACTATACAATTGACTCTTCCATTAAACTAAGAAACATCAATTTAATGCATAATTTATCTCCTGCAAAATATTTGAACATGATTACTTTACAAAATGAACCTCAACCACAAAGTTATCTATACATTACCTCACAGGTAGCAATGCCATCAAGAAACTAGAACAAAGGCCAAGAATGAGTATGCATGCATTAAGGCACTACATTGAAAACATTTACCAGTAAATATAAATATTTCACATTTATATTTCCATTTGGAGATTAGCAGCATTTTGAAACTCAGCATGTGGCCAGATAACAAATCTAGACTGCTTTATTCTTTTAAAAATATTGCACTAGTAATGCATTGTTACCTTTCTTTAATAGACATTGCTTTTCCAGTAGAGAACTCCGAGGTCCCTTCACTTATTTCAGTTCTGCCAGTTTTGGTACTTAGCTCCAACTGATGATCATAAAGCACCTTACTTTCTATTTGTGTGGCTGGCTGCCGATGTGGAAGTCTGGAGGATGTTACAGTAGAAACCTGTGATGCAGTGAATGTTGCTGCTGATCCTGCTTTCATTTCAGGAGTATGTTCCACACACTCTATTCAACAAGAACAGTATGATCATAAATAACATACAAATATCTTTCATACATTTGCCAGATTAAGAGATTTACAGATTATCAACTTGCTTTTAAATTTCAACCTGTTTTTAGAATACTTCTACCAGACATGCAACCACAAACAAATATTCTGACATATTTACAAAAAAACCAGTAAAAAGAGACTTCATTTTCATTAAGTTTCTCATTGCCTCTCACTTCAACGCAATATCTACATAGTCACTACAAAATATTGTGTCAAACGAACATTTATGGTATTGGTTTTTACAGAAAAGATGTTTTCTGCCAGTACCAGCACAAACCAGACTTTTTGTAAACAATATGTGCATGGAGAATGTGTGTGTGGAGTTTGTCTGTTTAATAGGAGCCATAAATGTATTTTTGGTTGCAGACCCCATGCAATCACCACCTCTCTCTTAACCATATGGTTCCTTCAGCTAACAGTTGTGCATGAGGAGCCTTGGGTTTAATTGCCTGTTTGTAGTAGATTCACTGTTCACAGCACATTGATGTATTAGCACAAAAGCTGTCAATGTAACAAGCAGTGAAGATATGCCCAAAGAATTTTTTGAGAATCCTTTGTTTTGGCAGAAAACTTTGCGTCTGAGAAGAGGGAATGGAACATCAGCACCCACTGATCATTTCAAGCTCTTATACATAAGCAAAATCGAGTCAACTACAGAGGAAACCACCGTTTACATTTACATTAGCAAATAAAAACCAGGAGCAGGATTAGGTCTTTTGGTACCTTATGCTTGCTGGTTATTCAAGAAGATCATCTCTGATCATCAACCCTCCTATTCTACCCAATCCCCAGATCCCTTGATGCCAAAAATCCACCAACCTCAACTCTGAATATATTCAATGACTGAACAGAAAGAAGATTCAAAAGATTCACAATCCTGCTGAGAGGAACATTTATCTCATCTTGATCCTAAATGGCTGACCTCAATCTCTCCCAGTTCTAGACTCTCAGCCAGAAGAGCAAGCATCTCAGCATCGACTTTCCAAACTACTCTTAGAACCTTAAATGCTTCTCCTTCTAAACTCCTGGGTCTATAGGTCCATTCTATTCAGTCTCTCAAAAATCTACAAGATATCTTAGTCACTCCTAACACAGCGTCATTCATTCATCAAGGCAAATTTTTCCCACATCCTGAATAAACCATTTCATGTACATTTTTATAATTCCATTCATATGTATTTTGTATCAACCTGTAGTTGACACTATGATTGCAGAACTTTAGTGAGAAGACAACTCCAGTCATATTGGATTTAATTTTTCACATGATGCCAGGGGACCTGCTATCAGGGTTAAAAACAGGAGATGACCCTGCTTCAGTTGCCTACTGGTGGCTATTACTGAGGCTGCAGATGTAGGTGAGGGGGAAGTGAGCTCCTCAACCTCTGGGCAGGTATGAAGTAGGGCGATTGGGTTTGGGGAGATGCTGGGGTCAGGCCGGCAGACTCCAGCAATCCAGGGAGACAGCTTGTGGTTTGTGTTACCCAAGCAGTGCTACTGCAGGGTAGCCACCGATGCCATTAGCTGCAGAGTGTCCAGAAAGGAGAGCCCTAACACAGCCTGCTTGGAGACTGGCAGGTTTCAGTTAATAGACTTGTTCATCCCATGCATAAGAGGCTAGAAGTGACCGACAAGTAACCACTCAGGTAGGTTTACAGGGCTCCTGTGTGGACAGTTAATCTGATAGCTGTCCTACTGCTGACAAAATGGCATGGCCTTGATGTCATCCCACTTCTCAGCCTATTGCCTAAGGCCTTCCAAAAGTCTGGTCATTGAGTCAGCACTGATAGAAATGCAGGTCAGTGGGTTCAGGAAACCTGAGACTTCTCTACTTGTCTGCATTTTCAAACATGATTAATCACTGTGGCCTCCTCTAATGCCTGTCCACTGTTGTCCAGCTGGATCGGATTGCTGTTGCTTCGTTCAAAACTTACCTATCTAGCTTTAGCCAGATAATCACCTACAACAACTTCTGTCCCAATCCATTTGCTTTAGTGTCCCCAAAGACCAATTTTCCCTCCTATTTCTCATCTACATGCCATCCTTCAGCAGCATCATCTGTAAACAGTTGCCTTCATTTTCACATACGAGCTGATGACAGCCAGCTCTACCTTGCCACTATGTCTCACAGCACCTCCTTGTCTTGGAACTGCCGAGCAGCCATTCGACATTCAGGTCTGACTTAGCAGAAATTTTTGTCAATTGAGTACAGGAAGAATAAAGACATTTTTTTGGGGTGCCCAAGCACGAACTCTGTTCCCTTGTGAAGGAGTCCATCCCACTTTCCATCAATTCCTTGAGACGGAATCAGACTGTTCACAAACCTGGTATCATAATGATACACCTTCAAACATGTATCTGCAATGCCACCATAACTTCCTATCTCCCTCTTGTAACATCACCTGACACTTCTCTGCTTCAGCTCATTTGCTGATGAAACCCTTATTTACGGATTTGTTATCTTGATGCCTAACCATCCTGCTGGACTCTAAGCCCACCTCCCACATTCCATCCTACAGTAATTTGAGGCCACTCAAAATTCTGCTACCTGTGTTCTAACTTGCACCAAGTCCTGTTCACCCACCACCGCTCACTTTGCTGAACTACATCAGTTACCTTTAGGTCTTAAAATCTTATGTGGCTCAATATCAAATCTGGTTTGGTAACATTCTAGTGTCCTTTTACTATGTTGAAAATGCCATATAAGTGTACTGTAATGCTTGTTGTTGATGAAGGAAATGGTAGGCTACAAAGTTGCCCCGTTTTGTCATTAGGCCATTTGTAGCAATTGCCATTTTTTAATGCATTCATAGGATGTGGACATCACTGGCATTTGCTGTTTCTCACTAATTAGCCTTGAGAAGGTGGTAGTAAGCCATTTGGTTCAATACAACTGAATGACTTACTGGGTTATTTGAGGGGAAGTTACATTGTTGTGGATCAGAAGTCACATTTGGCCAGACAGCGTAGGGACGATAGATTTCTCTCCATGATAATTTCTCCAGGTTTTTGGATTAGTAGCCCAGTTACAAAACTGTTATGATACCATACTCAAACTGGTCAGTAAGTGGGTGGAAGTGGTATTTGCTGCTCAGTGAACCTCCAAAAATGGACGTCAAGTCACTGGGTGTTCCAGAAGTGATGTCAAGTCACTGGGTGTTCCAGAAGCGAGTTGGAGGCTATGCATCATGTGTTGATTACAACACATTCATATGCATTAGTTTGTTGCAAGTTGTAATGATCACATCTTCAGTAAGATGAAGACCACCCTTCAAGGCTACATCCAACAATATAAGTTTCCAATACTCTCACTTTCTTCTAAAGATGAATGAATAGTAAGCAGCAAAGGTGGCAGTAACGGATCATCAGATTGTTAGTCAGTCATGGGACACTCATGACAGAGTGCTGTTGACTCAGAGTTGTTCAATAAATGCATCTGAAGTTTAAGAGTCGTAGAATCCGACTCATCAAGTCTGCACCAATACAAATTACTTTAAATTTACCCTAGGCCCACTTTCCAGCACTTTGCCCATAGTCTTCTATGTTATGTCACTTCAAGTGCTCATTCAAATACTTTTTAAAAGGCTTTCCTGCCTCAACTACCCTCACAGGAAGTGCGCATTCCACATTCCTATCACCCTCAGGTTTTCCTCAAATCCCTCTAAACCTCCTGCCCTTCACTTTAAAATTATGCCACCTTGCTATTGACCCTTCAAATGAGGGGAACAGCTGATTTCTATCCACCCTATCCTTGCCCTTTGTAGTCTTATATACCTCAACTAGGATGCTCCTCAGTCTTATCTACTTGAAGAAAACAAGCTGAGCTTATCCAGCCTCTCTTCATAGCTAAACTATTCTTTCCTAGAAAATTTCCTATGCACTCTCTCCAGTGCATCCTTCCTATAGTGCGGTGATCAGGACTACACACAGCACTCGAGCTGCGGTTGAACCAAAGTCCTCCACAGCACCAACATAATCTCCCTCTTCCTATAAATTATGCCATGACTTATAAAGTCATGTATTCCATATGCCGCCTTTTAACTTGTTCTGTAATTTCAGGGATCTGTTGAGAAGTACCCAGGATCCCTCTGTTCTTCTGAGCTTCCTAGTGTCCTGCCATTCATGGAGTACTCCCTTGTCTTGTTCCTTCTTCCTAGTGTCCTGCCATTCATGGAGTACTCCCTTCTTCCAAAGTGCATCACCATATATTTGCCAGGGTGAAATTCCATTAGTAGGCGATCTGCCATCTGACCACTCTGTATAAATCTTTCTGTCACCTAAGATCTCACTGTCAACCACCAGGGCAATCTTTATGCCATCCATAAACTTACTAATCAACCACCGCCAACATTTTCTTTTCTATTGTTTATATACATTATGAACAATAAGGGACCCAGCACTGCTCCCTGTGCCATACCACTGGCTTCCACTCAAACAAACAAACAAACAAAGTCTTTTACCATCATCTTCTGTCTCGTAACACTAAGCTCATTTTGGATCCACATTGCCAAGTTACCCTCCATTTGATGTGCTTTTACCTTCTTTATCAGTCTCTCATATAGAATCATAGAATCCCTATAGTGTGGAAGCAGGCCATTTGGCCCATCAGTTCCACACCGACACTCTGAAAAGCATCACACCCAGACCCACCCCCGTACCCTAACCCTGTAACCCTGCATTTCCCATGGCTAATCCACCTAATCTGCACATCCCTGGAAACTATGGATAATTTAGCATGGCCAATCCATCTAACCTATACATCATACGGTACCCTGACAGCGGCTTTGGTATAAACCCATACAAACTACATCAACTGCAATACCCCTATCTATTGGTCACCTTCTCAAAAAAAAATCAATCAAATTTGTTAGGCACGGCCTCCCTCTGACAAAGCCATGTTGACTATCCCTGATCTTTGCTTGCCTAGTTGCTTTCTTGAGTTCACCCTTGTACTTTGTATACTCCACTAAGGCCCCCATTGATTTTCTCCCTTTGTACTTGTTAAAAGCCTCTCTTTTCCTTCTTATCCAGCCTGAATATTCCTAGACATCCAAGGTTGTCTGGGCTTGTTGCAGCCACATTTTATTCAAAAGAGAACATGTTGGGCCTGGACTCTCACCAATTCCATTTTGAACAACCACCTCCCGTCCCACTGTTCTGCTACAGATTTACCCAGAAGTAGTTGTTCCCAGTTTACCTTGGCCAGATCCTGCCTTATTTTGACAAAATCTGCCTTCCCCTAATCCAAAACACTTTCACTGCCAGCTGGACCACCTGCCAGCTTCGTTCCCTAGAATTAGGTCCAGCACTGCACTGTCCCCTATTCACCACTATGTGTTGACATAAAGAGCTTTCCTCAATAAATTTCAACAACTTCATCCCCTCTAAACCCTTTACACTATGATTATCCCAAACAATGTTGGAGAATTTGAACTCCCTATTGTAATTACCCTATTATTGATTTTGAACATCTCAGTGATGTGTCTACATATCTGCTCCTCTTTTGAGCACTGACTGTTTGGATAGTGTGTCTGCCCTTTTTATTCCGAAGACGTGTCTACAAAGCCTCATTTGAAGTCCTTACCAGAATATCTTCCTTCTTACTCCAGGTACTGACTCCTTAACTAAAAGTATAACATCACTTCCTCTCTTACATCCTTCTCTCTCCTGCCTCAATATCCTATCACCTGGAATGTTGCGTTGCTAGTTCTGCCCCTCCCTCATCCACATCTCTGATGGCAACAACAACACAATTCCACGTGTAAACTATAATACTCCTAGAATCAAAGTAGAGGTCATCCAGCCTCACCTTACTCCCCTGACAATCAACATGGCTGAACTCCCTCTTGCCCTTGTTCCTTTATTAAAGTATGCTGTGCCCTTACTGTATAAACAAGGTGGCCCCCCTCCCACTACCAAAATAGTTTAAACTCCTCCCTTCAGCACCAGCATGCCCATCTGAGAAGGATGCTGGTCCCACTCTGGTTCAGATGCAGACCATCCTGCTTCCCCAGGAACAGTCACAGTACCCAGGAATTATGGTTGACCCATGCATAGTAGATGGAGGAAGATATGACTATTCAGATCAGAGAATCAATACACTTTTACTAGAATGTGCCATGTCTGGAATTAGTAGAGCAAGCAAATTTACAGAATCTAACCGATCCAGGAGTGATATGGCAGGTTATAACAGAGTGTTGATTAGGCCAGTTTCATACTGGATAAGGTCCAGATGGTGACATGAAGAAGTTCTTTTTGTACAAGATGGCAAGTCTCAGGGTGCCCTGCGCATCAAGGTATCCAAGACAAGGTATCCTTAACTAAACAAATTAAAGAAATTATGTGGATATATCCTGTGTGGAGAATATGTCTTTTATTTTAGACCGAAAACTGCTGAAATTTTTGATATTTTGAATAATACTAGGTAGTGGAGAGATTGTGTTGTTACATGTAACATCAGCATATAAGAATGTTGATTAAATGCTTTATGTCGAGAGCATTAAAAGGTGAAACTTGACGAGTAGTTGAAGTAATAGGCAGCTAGGGAAAGCTAGAGCAGTACACGATGGAGGAAAGAATGGAAGGATATTCAAGAGTTAAAACAGGACAGGAGAAGGCTCTTGGAGCATTAGCACTGGCAAAGAGCAGTTGCACAGATTTATCTTTTTCTGTGATGTAAATTGTATTTTATGGCAAAGCCTTCCTAAGCATTCTCAGTACATGCATAAATTCAGAGTGACATGTACCTGGTATTCTTGGGTTGGTAAACTAAAGATGTTGGTTTAAGATAATCAAGCCCTCTTAGAATTACGTTTACATTTTCTACCTACTACAAGTGCTTCTGATTAAGACCCAAGGATGTGCACATTCAGGCAAAATGTGACATTCTTAGAATTTACGTTCAATTCTTAGGCCAGCAATTATGCACTCAATCGACAGTTCAAGTCACCCAACCTTTACAACAAATTTTGATTTAACTAAAGAACTGAGAACCGTTTACCTGAAATAGCTTGCTTGTTCTTCATGTCATGTTCCACTTTCACAATGTCATCAAAGCTTCTCTCTTCACCTTCCCAACTCTCATGTATGTTTTCTGATTTCATAACTATTTTCCTTTCAGCTTCCTGTGGGAAGATTTCTGGATTGAACTGCTCTCCACTGTCCCTTTCTGGAGTTTCATGATTATCCGTACTCCTCCCAGTTGGTACGTGGGAATCGGTTTCTGCAAAGCTACAATTATACATGCTGCTCTGCTGCAGTACCTCTTTTGTCTCACCATTTCTGTAGTCATCACCCTCTTTGAGTACGCCACTGAATCTGTAGGATTTTTCCTGTGATGGCAGCATGTGTTCGGAGGGAAGCACACTCGTATTTGAAATATCAGCATTGACTAGTGAGCTGTGGGAAGGAAGAGTAGAGGTTGCTGCTGACTTGTGGGCAGCGTATAAACTATTCTCAGCAATGGAAGACTTTCCAAGATGTAGGTCACCAGCACAAGCTGTGGAGACTGTAGTTGCCTGACTGACCAGAGACTGTGAGAAGGGCCTCATCATTTCATTTCCATTTTGCACCTGCATTAAAAAGGCAGATAAAAGTTTACACACACTAAAGAGTGAAACAAAACTAATTTGTTGTATAAATCATTGGCAGGATTCAAATCCCTTCATTGCAGATGATGAAATCAGAATTCAAGAAAAGTCTGGAATAAAATACTGGCCTAAAGTCCACCATGTAATAATTGTTGTAAAATCCTGATTGGTGCATTGGTTCTTTAGGGAAAGAAATCTACCATTTTTGAAGAAGGGTCTAGGCCCGAAACATCAGCCTTCCTGCTCCTCTGATGCTGCTTGGCCTGCTGTGTTCATCCAGCTCTACACCTTGTCATCTCTACCATTTTTATCAGGTCTGGTCTTCATGTGACTTCAGAGCCACAGTGATCTGGCTGAGTTTCAGCTGCCCTATGGGCAATTAGGAATGAGCAATAATGCTGGTCTAGCATGGTGTAATGCTTTCCAAATTTAAAATGACAAAACAAATAAACAGTTGGCACAATATCTTAAGTAGTTTATTGTTGAATTTGGATTCATAGAATTGTTATAGCATGGAAGAAGAGCAATCACCTAGTGCTTTTTTTTTTATTTTCACTTGTGGGACACGGGTATTGCCCCTCTCTAGTGCCCTTGAGGTCATGGTAGCAAGTTGCCTTCTTGAACCGCTGCAATCCACGTGCTGTAGAATTCCAGGATTTAGACCCAGAGACAGTGAAGGAATGGAGATATATTTCCAAGTCTGAATAGTAAATTACTTAGAGGACAACTTGTAGTTGGTGGTGTTCCCATTTATCTGCTGTCCATGTCTTTCTAAATGGAAATGGTTGTGGGTTTGGAAGGTGCTGCGAAGGGATCTGTGGGGTGAAATTTCTGCAGTGTCCTATGTAGATCATATCCACTGCTGCTATTGAGTGTCGGTGGTGAGGTGCGGTGCTTGTGTGCGTGGTGTTAATCAAGTGGGCTGCTTTGTCTTGGATGGTGCCAAGTTCCTCCGAGGTGTTGCAGCTGCACTCATCCAGGCAAGTGGGAAGTATTCCATTACACTCCTGATTTGTGCTTTGTAAATGTTGGACAGGTTTTGGGGAATCAGGAAGTGAGTTAGTTGCTGCAGTATTCCTAGCTATTGAATATCAAGGGGCGGTGGTTAGACTGTCTCTTATTTGAGATGTCATTGCCTGACATTTATGTGGCACACGCGTTACTTGTCAGCCTTAGCCTGGATCTTGTCTAGATCTTGTTGCATATGAATATGGACTGCTTCAGTATTTGAGGAGTCATGAATGATGAACATTGTGGAATCATTGGTGAACATTACCATTTCTGACCTTAGGATTGATGGAGGTCATCGATGAAGCAGCTGAAGATGGTTGAACCGAGGACACTATCCTGAGGAACTCCTGCAGTGGAATCCCTCAACTGAGATGACTGACCTCCAGTAACCACAACCATCTTTTTGCGTGCCAGGTATGACTCAACCGGCAGAGAGTTTGCCCCCTGATTCCCATAGATTTCAGTTTTGCTAGGGATTCCCATCCTGTCACTGTAGCTCTGCAAATCTTTCCTTTTCAGATAACGATTTCGTTCTCTTATGAAAGCTTCAATTGACTCTGTCTCCATCAATTCTCTAGTAGTGCACTTCAGATTCCTATCACTTGCTGAGTGGTGAAAACAAGTGCTCGTCATGGTGCCATTCCTCCTTTTGCCACTTACTTTAAGTCTGTACTCTATAGTTTCTGATTCTTCCACCAATGGGAACATTTCCTTTCCATCTACTCTGACTGGACCCATGATTTTGAATATTTCTATCAAATCTCCTAATCTTCTGTTTCCAAGCAGAAGAGTCCAATCTTCCTATGCAATTGGAAACCCTCATCTGTGACACGACTTTCATGAATCTTTTCTAATGCCTTCACTTTCTTCCCGAAGTGTGGTATCCTGAACCACCTGCAATACTCCAACTGAGGCCAAGCTGGTGTTTTATACTTGTATACATGTAACACTGTACTGAAATTAAATTCATTGTGGATGCTACTTTACTCAGTCAATATGTAATGAATCAACTTCTTACCACCCATATTTGTCAAAAGACGGGGGAGGAAAGTAGCAGGAGAAAATTTGGAGAAGGAAAAAGGGAGATCAGCAGTGAAGTTTTTATAGCATCTAGGACACCCCAAGATCCCTACAGTCAATGACACATTTTGTATTCTTGCAAATTAGAGAAATATAATAGTCAATTTGTACAAATGGAGGCACCACAACAGCATCGAGTTAACAGAACTGTATTAGTGCGTGGTTCGAGAGGCTAAGTATTAGCCAGAACACTCTAATGCTCCTCTGCTCTTCTTTCTAGTGCAATGGGAGCTTTAATGTCTACCAGATCGGATTACTGCAGCCTCAGCTTAATATCACATCAGAAAGATGGTGTCTCTGACATTGAACTACTCAGTACCACAGTGATATGTCACCCAATATGAGGGGTACAAGTTTCTCAGTGTGGGTCTTGAAACCATAACCCTCTCACTCAGAGGCAAGAATGTCACCATGGAGCTAAGACTGATGCCTCTGCTGTTATTAAGGTGCATTACGTGCAGACCCTTACTAATCAAACACTTGGGTAAGCAGTTACTACTGTCTGCTCATAATGTGTGGCATTTCAGAACACAACCAATCTGATATTAGAGATAGTAGGAACTGCAGATGCTGGAGAATCCGAGACAACAAGGTGCAGGGCTGGATGAACACAGCAGGCCAAGCAGCATCA